GTGACAAACATCTTTATGAAAACGTGTCGTATTAAAAGTTTAACATTATGAAAAACATTACTAATGGACCATAAAACGCGCGTTAGTTTTAAAACTAACCAAAAAAAAATTATTGGTTGATTTTAAAATTAACGCGCGTTTTTACGTAACGTTTTTCATAATGCTATACTTTTTATAAAGTACTTTTTTATAACGTTGTTAAAGTGATATGTGAAAGTTCCTAAAATTTTTAATAATATTTGCATATCCATTTTATTTTGTCTAGATGCTTTTCTACTTTAATAAATGTTTGGAATTAATAATGTTGTTTTAACAAAGCATGAACTTTAAAAGTAATAAGTGCTTTATAATTGTCTGTCTTGATGTTTAAGAAACATCTTGCTGTACTGTTTTGTTCAAGTTAATACAATTTTGTTTTAACTTGTCCAGCACTTGAAACAATTTAACATTTCAGTAAAAAATATTTTGTTAATGTATACTCAGTGTTAGCGGCCTTCGGGTCCTTCTGTTGTTTTCAAATAAATAAAAATAAATAAATAAATAAATGTAGTATCACTATTAAAGTTTTATTACTTATATAATGCAGTTAGTGACTAAAGTGTTATTACTTTTGTAGTCGTAAGTTTATTGTTTTTGTTTTGTTTTTTGTAACTTTCTCGCTAGAAAACTATTAATCATTTGCTCCTTATAAACAAAATACACAGCTTTGCATAAACTAAAATTTTAAAGACCTAATATTTTACCAGAGTTTGCAAATTGCGATCGTATTATTTAACTCTTGATATAAACTTACATTATAATTATACAATTATATTTTACAAACAGATGACGATACATATTTTCTCATTCCTCTTTAAAAGAAAAAACACATAAAATATGGAAAAGACATCCTTTTTAATGCCTAAAACCTCTTTTTTTTTTTTTTTTGCTTTAATGAATTTTGTTGCCGATAGTTATAACCACTAGAAAAAACAAAAATAATAACAACACACTAATTATTTAAACATTTATTATTGTTTTCTATTTAAGTTTACTTTAATTTCTTATGTAGTTATTAAATTTAAAACAATTTTTCAGTAACGCATATAATATAACTTGCGCAAACGGTCGTGATCACGTTCTCTAACTTGAAAAACGTTTTCGTGGTCGTGCGAGACAAAAAACCGCACGCCTTTCCTGGGAAGGCTTGATGAATATATATATATATATATATATATATATATATATATATATATATATATATATATATATATATATATATATATATATATATATATATATATATGCTTTGCATAAACCATTAAATTTTGCGATATTCTTGTTTGGAATATAAAAAAATTTTTTCTTTTATTTTATATCAAATAATAATTTTATAAGATTTGTTGCTATTTAAATAGTCACATATCAAATAGTTTTGATATTTTTTTTTTAATGAAATAACGTTAGACACAACTGTATTAAACATTGATCTTTTTTAATGTAAATATTCAAATATTATTTTCATCTGCTTCAGAAGAAAAAGTTGATTTCTTTAAGTTGAGCTTTATTAATATGAAAAACTACTATATTCTGCCTAAAGAAGGATTTTCCAAGGCAAAGCTCTTAACTGGTTGATTTATTGAAGGTAGTAAGCCTGTCGATCCAACAAAAAAGTTATCTGATATCATATTTTAGTTATAATATATTATAACTAAAGATATATTTTTATTTATAACTTGTTATACACATCATCAGAAGAAATATTTCAAATAGAAAAACATTTATACTTCTTCAAGAAGTTCCAAAACAAAATATGCAACAATTAAGACGAGGCATTTGCAGAAATCAAGGATAAATCAATAATCTTTTTATAAATATTCTTCTTAATGTGCATTTATTTATTAATTACAAGTGTGCAATCATTGATAGGCTGGGTTCTAAAAAAAGCTAACAATAAGAAAAACAAAAACTGGCCAGACTATGTATTTTATGACTATGGTTTGATTATCTGTTTTTTAAATTTTTGGGAGGTATTGGCTTTAAGTTTACAACTCAAGCTTGTAAAATAGCTCCATAGCATTGAGCCACGATAGGAAATGGCAAAGCTCATAAGTTTTGATGTGCGGAAAGATTTTTAAATCTTCCGGTAGATCGCGTGTTGTATTGGTTTAATGTTTTAGGGAAAATATTTTCGAAAACCTTCGACTTTTTTTTTTGACTGATGTTGGAACATTTGTGTAATTTTGAAAATATTTAGTTCATAAATATCAAGTGCCTTCATGCTTTTTAGAAGAGGTTTAGCATTTGTGAAACAATTTTAAAAATGAATAATGTGTGCTGCATAATTCTGTTGTTTAAGGAGACATTCAATTTAGATTTATTTGTACTACCTCAAACAATATTGCCATAAGATAAATAACTATTTATGAATGCAAAATATAACTGAGTTAGTGTAGATTTGTCTAAGATTTGTCTGGTTTTACATGAAATTCCAATATTTCCTGAGATTTTATTGCTAATATGTTTAATATGTTCTTTCATGGATAAGTTTTCATCTATTAAAATACCAATTAACTTATTTGTGAATGAGCACTCAACTTTGATGTTATTTATATATAGCATTGGTAAGGATTTCGGAATATATTGAAATTTTCGTTTAGAATGGAATAAGGAAAACTTAGTTTTATCAGTGTTTAAAGAAAGGCTGATAGTGGTAAGCCAGTTTGATATATGTTCTAGTTCATTATTTGCTACTTGAAATAGAGAGATAATGTTACTGTAAGAATAGAATAAAGTGGTGTTGCCTGCAAACATAATAATAAGCATTTTGCAAATTCTGTATATATATATAATATATAAATATATATATATATATATATATATATATATATATATATATATATATATATATATATATATATATATATATATATCTATATATAATATATATATATATAATATATATATATATATATATATATATATATATATATATATATATATATATATATATATATATATATATTATATATATATATATATATATTATATATATATATATTATATATATATATACATATATATATATATATATATATATATATAAACAGAATTTGCAAAATGTTTATTATTATGTTTGCAGACAACACCACTTTATTCTATTCTTACAGTAATATTATCTCTCTATTTCAAGTAGCAAATAATGAACTAGAACATATATCAAACTGACTTATCACTATCAGCCTTTCTTTAATTATATAATATAATTATAATTTTAATTGCTGTGTTCTTTTAAGAATAGTAAGCACTCTATTTTGTAGAACACATTTTAAAAATGTTTAAATTTATGTATATATATAATATATATATATACATAAATTTAAACAATTTTAAAATGTATTCTACAAAATAGAGTGCTTAATATTCTTAAAAGAACACAGCAATTATAAATTAGTAGAAAATCACTTAACAAAATTTCGTTTAACACTGCTTTTTTATCAATAAAGCTCATCACAAATGAATGATCAAATTAATAAAACTTCAATTTATACCAAAAATTAAATAACAGGAATAAAATTACAGAAAATACTTTATTTTAATAAGGAAACTTAGAATAAGAAAAACATTCATGACTGCTTTGATGTAACAATGGGCAGTTATGATGGAGCAGAAATTTGTGAATTTGTCGGACTATGTATTTTAGATTTATTAAGTAAAACAATCAGTATAAAAGATATACATAAAACTACTTTTCCATTATGGCAACATAGAAAATGTTTTATTAGGAAACTTTTAAGCACCACAATGCTGACAGATCTGGCTCAATTCTCCAATAATCAATATAAATGATTTAGGCCTTTATCGCAACAATGATTTAATAGTAATGCATAAAAAATCTGGTCTACAGTTCAATAAAATTAGAAAAGATATTTAAAAAATTTTTAAAATCATTGGCTTTCAAATCAAAATAAACATAAATTTAAAAATTGTGAACTTTCTTGATGTCACATTTAACCTCTCTGAAAGTTCATATGAGTCTTTCAAAAAACCAAATGATGAATTAATGTATATTAATATTGTCTCAAATGATCCACCCAAAATTCTAAAATTAATCCTGATTTCAATTAATAACAGGCTAAACCAGAACTCCTTTAATGAAAATGTATTCAAATCCTCTAAACGAATATTTGAAGATGCCCTTAAAAAAATGGTTTTTAAAATTTTAAACTAAAATTTGACCCTGAAAAAACGAATACAAAAAAAGCGAAATAGAACTAGAAATGTAATTTGGTTTAAACCCCCCCCCTCCCCTCATAGCAAAAATGTTTCCTCAACATAAGAAAAAGTTAATTAGAGTTGCACAAAAAAATATAGAAAGAATTGAAAAAGGTCACAATAATGCTTTGTTAAACAAAAAATAAATCCTAAATGAAAAAACTACAGAAAATTGTAACTGTAAACATAAAAACAATTGTCTAATGAGTGGAAGTTGTTTATCAAAAAATGTGGTATATATATGTGTTGTTTCCTCTAAGAAAGTACCTGATAAACAATATATTTGCATAACAGAAGGTGAATGGAAAAAACGTTTTGCCAATCATAAGCGATCCTTTAAAAATAAAAAACATTTAAAAGACACCATGCATCAAAATATATATGGGAATTAAAAGATAAAAATACTGATGACTTTATACAGAATTGGTCCATCTTAAAACAGCGCCTGCATATAACAATATTTCCAAAAAATGCATGCTATGCCTACAAGAAAAATTTGAAATAATTGCACATGCAAACTAAGAATGTTTATTAAACAAAAAATCAGAATTGATTTCTAAATTCAGGCACAAAAAGAAGTTTCTACTAAAAAACTATAAAAATAAGTGAGTTCAAATAAAGTTAAATTCCCTCTTTTAAAAAATATTTTTAAAAAAAAGCAGAAGTAATTAATTCTATAGAATTTACACACCAGGGATAAATAATCAACACCACCTAAAGCAAATCATTTATAAGTCTAAAAATACCTTTTGCTCAATTGCTTCAGGAGCAGTCCACTTTACAGGAAACTTTCCAGATGCAAGTTCTTGCTCAACATCTTTTGCAAGACCAAAATCTGACACCTAAAAATTTTCAAAATTTTATCTAAAAAAATGTTTTTTTTTTTAAATTAATTCTTTTTAGTAGTAGATTTAAATTTCTGGTATAACTAATTATAGAAGAATTTATATATAATAAATAGAAAAACATTATAAACCCATAAAAACAAAATCATTTTCAGGTTATAAATTATGATAATGGGTTTAATGGTCTTAAAATTATATTGAATATAGAAATATTATACAACTTTTAGTTATACAAAAAGAATAAAAATAAATTTATAAGATATAAGTAAAACAATAAAAAAACATGAAAATAATAATAAATAAAGTTAAATAAGAAGAAAACTATAAATATGTAAAATAATTAATTTTAAAAATAATATTATTAAAAACCTTTGCACAAAGTTCATCAGATAGTAAAACATTTCGAGCTGCTAGATCCCTAAAAACAAAATTCAATATATTATTCTATGACAATTTATGATTAAATATTTTCACATACAAAACAATCTTAAATATAGAAGCCAAAGAAATTTTTTTTTTTGATGTTTTGATTTAATTTTTGCAAATTACATTTTTGATAAGTAAATTAATCAGAACTTAACACATTTAGAGCATCTATAAACTGCTACTTGCACTATTAGTCTTGCACTTTTGATTGCAACTTAGACTGCATATTTCACCCTTAAATTGAGTATTGCATTCATAAAATGCATATTGAACCCCTAAAACTGCATACTGCATCCTTAATCTGCATATTGCATTCTTTGACTGTATATTAGTTAATACTGAGTATTGTTATAATTTAGACTGTATATACTAGTTTATCCATATTGCATACTTAATTTAATAACAGGTTGTTCCAATTTTTTTTATTGGATAATTTTCTTATTAACTGCTGTTACATCATAAATTAATTTACATAATTTCATAAATTACCATGTTGTCATTACATTTTATTTTAAATAAATTAAGATTAAAAGTTCTAAAGATTTTAAGTGTTTTTTTATTTTTAATAACACAAAACTTTAGTTCAGTAATTATATTATTTGGTTGGCTGACTAATTACTCTTAAATGAATTGAAATTCTGCAACATAAAACATAATTATAAAAAAAACAACCTGTGAATGATATTTTTCTCTTCTAGATAGCGCATACCATTACAAACATCACTATGTCAAAATGAAAAAAATATTATGTAACAAATATGACAAATAAAATATGTTACAAGGATTGCTCATGTAAACATGTCACAAAGATTGCTTGTGTAAACATGTCAAAAACTTTGCTCATGTAAATATGTCACAAGCAGTGCTTATATAAACATGTATCAAACCTTAAGAAAGGAATAAAAACTAGTAGAAAAACTTTTTATTACTATTATACAATAAACAAAATTCAAAGAATAACTCACATTGCAAAACCTTTTTGCTCTTCTAATGTAATCACAGCTCTGCCTCTTGTTCTCAAATACTCCACTAAAACACCCTTAAAACACAATCAATATACTCTTAAAACACAATCAAAAATATCTTAAAATGCATTTTAAGAAATCATTAAGAAACACAAATTATCTTTAGCAATCATCATTTGGTAAAAAATTTCTCGTTTTAACTTACCTTTTCACAATACTCAGTTAAAATCAGGATAGAATCTCCTTGAAAACTTATGGCCACCAAAACAACCAAGTTTTTATGTTGAAGAGTTCTGGGAAACAAAATGCTATTAGTAATATATATATATATATATATATATATATATATATATATATACATACACATATATATCTATATATATATATATTTATATATCTATATATCTATATATCTATATATATATATATATATATATATATATATATATATATATATATATATATATATATATATATATATATATATATATATATATATATATATATATATATATATATATATATATATATATATATATATATATATATATATATATATATATATATATATATAATGTATATATATATATAAACATATTAGGGTGGTCCAAATTTTACACATTATTTAAAATGCAGACTCCACAACCCTAAATGTGTTCTATATAATAAAATAATACTGGAGTTAAAAAATCTTTCTGAAAAGAAGTGAAATTTTATAAAAATTTAAAAAAAAATAAAAACAATTTATAAAAACACAAATTAAAAAAGGTTTATTTAAAAAAACCTTTGAAAATATGTACTTTTAGTTTTTTTGTTAAAGATTGATAGTTTTTAAACCATAAAAATTAAACTAGTAATCTTTATATAAAATGATCATTTTTGAAATTTTTATGAAATTTCACTTCTTTTGAGACCTAACATAATATACTTTTGAAGAACTTTTTTACTTGATAATATTAAATTTTTTTCGAAGATTTTTTAACTCCAGTATTATGTTATTATATAGAACACATTTAAGGTTGTGGAGTTTGCATTTTAAATAATGTGTAAAATTTGGACCACCTTAATTTATACATTCCCATTATACTATCAAAATAATGTCTAAAAATAATTTTTACAGATTTTTGATAAGTGATCCTGAGGTCCCTCAAGGCCTCCAAATTTGAACTCCATTTTTAGAGCAAAAATTAAAATCTTTTACATAATAAAATGTTACAATTCTATAAATATAACAAAATAATTTAAACAAAATCATGTTTAATATAAAGGTATTCAAATCTACAAAAAAAAATAAGTTGACATTACATTTAACATTTTAACTTAAAAAAAATAAAATGTTTTAGTCAATTTTGTGACCAAATATAAGAAAAAGCAAATGAATTTATAGCCTTTACTTGAAAAATTAGTAATTTACATGAAAAGTGTTTAATATCTTATACTCAACACACTCATATAGTACTTAGTAATACACTACAGTTTTACAAATTTAGTGTCTTTTTATCAAAACTAGAATATAACTTTCTATGCTGCTCGACACCCTGCAACAACCATGCCATTTGCTCAATATTAGTTGTAATGATTTTAGCAAAATCTGAGATTAACTTGACACCACGCTCCGCTGCATTGTTGACAGCTTTAACTGTACAAACAAATTGTTCTGCAACTCTAAAGGTCTGAATTCCACCGCTCCACTGGTTTGGAAAGCCAACCAGTGCTCACTTTTAAAATGTTAAAATGAAGTTTTATGGTATTGGAGTCAAAAGCAATTGAATTGCCATTTCTTTCTTTAGTGCATGTGTCATCAAAGGATGTTTACCAAATAAAGCAAACAGCACAACTTTTTCTGACAAGTACCAATGATGATTATGGAGTTTGTTAATCACAAAATCAGCAATATCTTTGATAACTCCTCTAAAATCAATCATATCATAAACAAACTGGAGGTTGTTCATAGATGCATCCGCTCCCCCTGATGGTTTTATCCATGCAGGAGTGTAGAAATAAGCCAAAAATCTATTCATATGCATGAATTTAGCAACCATGTCATCATCATACCGCATCTGTTTGGAAAACATATTCATCTTACTAGCATATATGTTGTTGTCCATCCAACGTGCTTGATGTATCCCTCCTGGTTTGAAAAAGTGGGCGCCACATGGGGTAGTTTCACCCAAGATTATCAGATTGTTTTCAGCAGATTCACGATAATCATCTCTAGGAAAAGTTGTTGAATCCTTGCAAGATAGAATGTTTGTAAGTTCTTTGACAACTTTATGTTTTATGTTTAACAACCATTAGTTTTCAGTTTTCAGTACTTGTATTGCTTGAACCTTATCTAAGTTTGACCATACATCTTTACATTTTTCAAACAGTTTGTTTTCTGGGCCTAAAATGTCACAGGTTAGATAAAGTAACTTTTTATCTAGACTTGCTTTCATTAACTTAGCAGTTTCTTTGTGAATACCACTATTGCTAGCTGTTGAATCAACCACTAGAGTTACAACTCTGTCTGACAGATCACAAACTTGTATCAGATCAAGTGTTGCTTCAGCTTGAGTTGCTCCTTGGGAGTTAGCTAGAGAAGGTAAACCTAATTATTTCCCTTTCTTGTATTCGGGAGCTCCAGAAATAAGAATTGCAAGTTGTTCATATGTCTCTCAGCATATCTTTTAAAAGTTTATCATCCCAATGCAAAGCATTCTTTTGGGGAGGATTCTGTTTCACTGTCTCCATGACACTTTCTGCAATCTTTTAACAATTGAACATTCTTGTTCTCCAAGTTGTAGGCCTTGCAGATCTCAAGTTGTAGATCTCAAAATCTTCAAGATTACCTCCAGCAATTTTTATCAATGTTGATACAATCATTGTTACATGATTGTCTGACAACTTGAGACAATCAGCGGCACTGGTTATCTGGTCAAATTACATTATTTTCCTAGGTAGCTTAAGAGTTACATATTCGCCTTGATCTACTTTTGTTGTTTCTTGTTGTAGATTTGTTTCAAAATCAGGATCAATTTTAGTTCAGTCATCTTCATTTAATTGCGTCTCAGAATTATATTCTAGCAAAGCAGCCACCCCTTTCAACCTGCTTTTCTCTTAAAATATCCAACCTGCTCTGTTCTCTTTCTGTAGTTCTTGCTTCACATACTTGTCTTGCTAGTTTTATTTTGGTTTTGGTTTCAAAAATTTTATTATCTCATCTATACATGCTCTTCTTTCCTGTTGTTGATCCAAATAAAAGTCGATATCATCTTGTTTTTTTCTTTCTGACAAAAACCTTAGTTTCTTTATTTCATCTATGGTATCAGGTGCAACAACGTTAAAAAGAGAATCAATTTATTCAACAAAATTTGCTCTCTTGCTTCCAGGGTCATTTGTTCTTCCTTTATTTTTCATCAAACTCTGCCATTCATTCCAAAGTTTCATAACATCAAACATGCAATTGTCTGTATTTAGTTTTTATGTTTGCCATATTCCAAAAAACAAGGACTGCATCAACCACAACATAAGCAATATTCTCATTCTTCACTTTATTTTTAATATTTTCTGGATCATTCCTAAGAAATAAAACATATTTCGTAATTTGCCTACAATCAGGCAGTTTAGCCCCATTAATTAATGTTGAAGGATGACCAATTAATCAGAAATCACTTAACTTTCTTGTCACAGGTTGGCTTGGAGTTCCTTTATGTGAGCTAGAAGTACCTTGACAAAGTGGATTCTCTTTTTATTCTTTAGACTTTTTGTCTTCAGTAATTTGCTGTATTGATGGACCGTGCTTTTTACTACTTCGAGTCAACATTTTTTTAATATCTTCATTGATAAAATTAAATTTATTCTTTCACTAAACAGTATCAGAACTCGAATAGTACAACTAAATACCATTGAAAATCAATCAAAACTTTTTAGAAATGATTCTTTGATTATTGCGGGGGGAAAAAAAAAAGCAATTTATGCAAAAAATGGGGGAACATGTTCAGTAGCCTTGAGGAAAATGAGGATCACTTATCGAAAATATGTAAAAAATTACTTTTAGACATAGTATTGATAGTATAATGGGAAAAACTTCACTTCACAACATTTTGACACTTCATACTAATCATGGACAATCCTAATATAAATATATATATATATATATATATATATATATATATATATATATATATATATATATATATATATATATATATATATATATATATATATATATATATATATATATATATATATATATATATATATACATAGAGCTAATATGTTCAAATTGTTTTTGGTCAGATTTTATACTTTATAAAATGTATATATTTCAAGAAAATAACAAAAGAACTTTTGCAATTTTCATGTAATATAAAATAACTAAAACATAATTTGTTTTTTCTAAAATTTAGTTAAAAAACCTAAGTTTTTGATAATATATGTGAAAGAATATTAAATGTTACGTATTTTACATTTAAAGTTTTGAATAATGATGCTTTGTTAAAGCACAATTTAGTTTTAAATTTGTGTAACTTAAGTTAAAATTACATGCATTATTTACTAAAACATTAATAAGTAAACTTTTCTTATTAATTATTTTTCTGTTTTATTTTCTTTTTCTAAAAGTGTCTAAAATAAACTTAAAAAAAAAAATACATTTGTATAATTCTGACATTAACAAGCAGTAATAGATATTGATATATAATAATACGCTCTTGTTAATTTTTGAAATGTGAAATTTTGTACAGACCCTAGTACACAGTATAACATATATATACAAACTTCATCACAAATATCTTACGTCATTACTGATGCTTCAGCAAGCAGCGATTGAGCAGTTTTAGAGTCGTCACGAAGTTTTTTGATTGCTACAGTTTTTTTTGCCCATACACCTTTATACACATCACCAAACTCACCTTTACCAATCAACTCTTTAAATTCTACATCCTCAATCGGCACTGCCCAACCCTCTAAAATTAAAAAAAATTTTTACAACTTCAAAGCTTCATTATTTCTTAGATAATACAAAATAACAAACTTAATAACAATTGATAATAATATAAAATTGATAAGAATTTTATTTGTTAAGTTGTATTATAAGTTTCAATTTGACACATAACTGTAAAAAAAAAAAAAAAAAACACCTCATAAAACATCTTAAATATAAATCATATCAGCTGTTTTGCTATTGTATGAACCCTCCATCTTCTAGGATTAACTCTTAGTTCCGAACTTTCTTAGAAAACATATATCAAATCCATTGCAAAATTAGCACCTGTTAAGGTTGCATATCTTTATCGTGCTCACCACTTTCATATTTAGATTTCTATTCTTTATCTCTATAAATCTCAAATCCAACCTTTTATGGAACACTGTTGCCATATCTGGGGCAGATCTTCTAATGATGCCCTTCCTTGTTTAGACAAGGTGCAAAAATGCATATTAAACTTAGTTGGATCTGCTCTTGTAGCCAACCTCTAACCAATATCACATTGTCACAATTTTGCTTCTCTTTCTCTTTTCTATAAATACTATAATGAGCACTGCTCTAAAGAGCTAGCGTCTCTTGTGTCATCAAATAAATTCATTCTCCTGTTACTTGTCATTTAAATTCATACTTTTTCTGTGATTGTTCCTAAGTGCTACAGAAACTCTTCGCCTAGTTATTTCCTTTGAACATCAATTCCTTTATCTTGTTTTCCTGATTCATTTAATTTGCAATCTTTTAAATAATCAGTTAACTGTTATCTTGCTTTATAAGTTTTATCTTTTTTCTTCTAACAACTTCCAACTCTAATAATGGTTACTTGCAGACTTGTTGGAAGTGAAGATGTTAAAAACAAAAAACAAAAAAGTGTATAAATATAGTTTTGTGACATCAGTTGTAATGTATAAATATAGTTGTGACATCAGTTGTAATGTATAAATTTTTGTAATGTATAAGTTTTGAAATCCTAAAAATATATAATTAAAATTAAAAGTTTTTTAGGCTTTATACATTGGTGACGTATAAAGCCTAAAAAACTTTTAATTTCAGAATGTTTCTTATTTAGAGCAGTTTTTAGTCATGGCAAACAGTCAAAAGAATTAAACGAGAGAAAATGAATGTCATCTAACAAGTTAAACACTCTTGCTTGAAATGAAATCTTCTGAAGATATTCTGAATATAAAAAGAAAATATAAATGTGAAAAACTAGTCTAACAATAATCAATGTCAAATAAAAAAATTGTTTCCATCATAAACATGTTTATGTGAAGTGTGAACTAAATTAAGACTACAACTTATTTATCGCCTATAACAACCATTTAATATCCATAATAAAGCTTTAAAAGAAATTTATAGCAGTTATTAATTAATTATTAGCGAATAACAATAATGAGATTATTTGAAATGAAGTTTTATTTTTAATATATTCAAAGCGTATTTTTAACATCTGTAAGTAAATTATTAAATAGCAAACAATGCTTAATTTTTACAGTTTTTCTTAAATAAATTATATCATTATACATGCTTCATAAAACTCTACATAAAATCAAGTTAGATGCAACAAAATATTTATGCAGTAAAGACAAAGTAATAGCAGTTTAATTGAAGAATCAGTAGAGAACGGAGAAGACAGAAACAAAAGTAATTTAAGATTATATGGAGAAAGAAATCATGATGGAAGCAACAAGATCATCTTTCACATAGAAACTTTGTATGAACTTGAAGTGTCTAAATGCTTTATGCAACATGCCTTCACTTGTAAAGAGAATAATAAAACAAGTTAAAAAAACAATTTTTTTTTTTTTGTTTCAACATCTTTCCTTTCAACAAGGCTGTAAGCAAACAGGAAAACAAGATGTAGGAAGCTGATTCCAAAGGACTTCGAGAAAAAAAACTAGATAATAAGAATTGAATGATGAGTAACACGAGAATAAATTTTAGTAGATGGCATAATAGAGGTTAGCTCTTTAGAGCACTGTCCATTAGAGCATTTATAAAAAAGAGATATAGTAGCAACATTATAACAATGTGATAATGGTTTGAAGTTGGCTGCAAGAGCAGGTCCGACTATGCTTACAATATATTTTTGCACCTTGTCTAAAAAAGAAAGAGCATCATTGGAAGATCCAATCGATTGAAAAATTGGCAGATGCTAATTTTGCAGTGGATTGGATCTTCCAATCCATTGCAAAATTATGTATATGGTTATTTGATATATGGTTTCCAAGAAAGATCAGAAGAGTTAATCCTAGAAGATGAAGGGTAGATGACTCAACAAGTACATTCCTGTTCATAAATATAGGATGATTGTGATAATGATTAGCTGAAAAAAAGAGATTATTGTGATAATGATTAGCTGAAAAAAACCACAAAATAAATTAAATATTATTTAACTTATTTTTTATTATTACTATTAGGGAGTGTTTATTTTCTTTTAATTTTTTTTTTAAATTAAATAACTAAATTTTTTTGTCAAGGTTCGTGTTTCAGAGTTATAAAGTTAAAAGAGGGTTGTAATCACAAAAAAAAGTAGCCTCCTTGACTGTAGTGGCCTTCTTGGCCTTGGGCAGGTAAAAAATTATTAAAAAAAAAGTTTATAGATTTGGTAAGATGCTTGAATGACTGACTTTGCACCATGTGCAAGGGTGCATACTTAAATGAATTTGAGGACCACAAGTTATATTTGCAACTTTCATATCATAAGAAAAAACTAGTTTGCATTAATCAGTAACCAGAATTGTTCAATGTTGGATTGAGTTTCTGACAAATCTTGCTAATAAACAAGAACTTGTCTTTTATTGCTAGTATCTTTGCCAGTCTTTTGAGTGAGAGGTTATTTTTAAGGTGGCGAGGTGATATCAACCCTTGACACAGTATCAACAGAGTATCATCAGCAAAACGTGAGAAAATCTTCACCACCATCAATTCCGAGCTTAACAAAATATCCACCAGAAACTTTGCAAAATTAAATAACATGATTCATAAGACTTCATAATCCATTACAGTAAGCAACAAACCAAACTGTATCAGAATCTCCTTTTCTGCCTGTAGCTTTTACGTCATAGCATGTGAAGAGCTCACTCAAGTGTTATAACTCTTAAGAAATTCTTTATGCCAGATGCTTTAGTAAGTCAAATAGTTCCTTCAGGGGATATTTCTCTATTGGAAATAACTTAAGAACCAATTTGTTTGGCTGCTCTGGTACCTTTCGCTGCTAAAGATTGAAGGTTTTTCCTGAACTTTATTTGAGGGCTTTGGTGGGGTAAACCTTTTCCTAAAGGGCAGAGACATGTGTTGCAATGTAAATTTGGTTCTTTTTAATGATGGTTTGCTCTTCTAGAGCATGTTTTTCTGGCAGCTTTGAACAAAAAATTTGGCAGATTAGGCAATAACACATTGTGCCACTTACTTCAGATCTCACTTGCATCTAATTGAAATTAAACAAAAAGGGAGTATAACTTCTTTACCCTATTATTTCCTGCGCAAAATTGTTCCACACAATTCGCAGTGTCATTGTGGTACCCAAGAATCACTGATATTGATCTTTGTCTCCTACAGTTGGCATATTCAATGTGCTTGTAAAGCAATAAGCTGTCTTAACCATTTTTTCAGACAGAGCAAGCACACAAATTTTTGATTTTCATTGTGAACCTTTGCTTGATTTAGCATTGTGGCAATTCACTAAATCCAACTTTACTGAATCAAACTATCCCTTTTACAAAATTTAACCTGAATTTATATTAGATAACAATCCATTAACTATTTTTAATTATTAGTAATTAAAATCAAGGAAATAATTACTTAAATTATAAGGAAATAAATTTTACATAATTCTTTTTATTAAAAGAAATAATTATTTATAATTATTTCCTTTATAGAATATAATAAAAATGACACTGTTGTGTCATTTTTATTATATTTTATTTATATTCTGAGTTGTGTTCATAATTAAGAAAATGTTTAAAAAAAACATTTCGGCTAAATTTTTTGGTTTAAAACTAAATAATGAATGCATACCAACAAAATTTAAAATTATCGTTTTAATCGAAGTTTGCCGTCTCCATTTTTCATTGGTTCTTAGGGTCTGTATAATGTTAGCCGCAATCTGCAGACTTGATAATTTATTCAATGCGTGATTAATTCATAACAGTTTCAGTATGTGACGTCGTTGCAATATCTTTTTAAGATAGCGTTTTTTTGTTGTTGTTTTTTTTAAGATATAAGTATTTTTTTTACGACAATCAGAAAATCAAATATTTGCATAACTTTTTACTAAATCAGAAAAAATATTTGTGATAGTAAAAAATTATACAAATATATATATATATATATATATATATATATATATATATATATATATATATATATATATATATATATATATTTATTTAATTACTTTGTTGTAAAAGCCAGTCAAAAATCATGACACAATTATACATATTTTGTGATTTTTAGAGTTCGCAGGCAGAGAAAAAATAAAGGCAGTATGATGTGGTTCGCTTTATATTTAGTTCATATGGTTCAATAGAGTTGTTTGTTTTATGTTTACATTTAGTTATAGCTCAACTCTTTCTCGCAAGCCACTGGTAGCGGCTTTCAGCGCGCAAGCCACTGGTAGCGGCTTTCGAGTATGCTTTACAATTTATCTTGTTTTGTACATAAATTTCCATTCTAGGCACATAGAATTTGTTTGTTCCGAAAGTTTAACTAATTCTCCACATAATCAAGAAAAAATAAGAGCTATATTGTGTAATTATAAAAAATTTATCACAAAGTTTGAATAATCCTTCACAAAAAAAGTTTAATTTAGTGTTAAAAACTTTATTATTATCGAATTTTAACTAATTGGCTATTCAAATATTATTCAAAAAAATGTGTGGTTGCTACAAAAAGATTTTTGTTCGGCTGGTAGCGAACAATTTAATGCAATTCTTTTTTTTATATTTACATTTTATACACTTTCTTGTATATTTTAGTACAAATACTTGTTTTAATTTAGTTTGATTTGAACGGTTATAAGTAAAATAAGTTGTTTAATATTTATTTTCTACTTAGTAGAATATATATATATATATATTTAGTTTATATGTTTTATTCAAGTAACTCTTTTTTTTTTCAGTTTATACTTTAATTATTTTATACGCTTATGTAAAATTATTATATCGTATATATATTTAGTTATATTTATTTTAAATTTATATTTAGTTTAAACCACTTTGTTTACTGTAAATATTCATTATATATTAAATTTTTATTTTTGCAAGTTTTATAAATTTAATTTTTAATTGTATCATAATTTTTTTTGGGATTTAGTAAAAAGTTATACAATTAACATGATTTTGTGATTTTGACAAAAAACTAATACAAAAAAACTTATACACTGACGTGATATACCGAAACTGTTATGAATTAAACACGCATGGAATAAATTATCAAGTCTGCAGATTGCGGCTAACATTATACAGACTCCGAGAACCAAAAAAAAATGGAGACAGCAAGCTTCGACTAAAACGTGAATTTAAAATTTAATGGTGTGCATTCATTATATAGTTTTAATCAAAAAAATTTAGTCCAAATGTTTTTTTTTAAAAACTTTCTTTAAAATGAACACAACTTGTCTCGGCAGTTGGGGATCCCTTTAAATAGCAAATCAATAATTTCATCTATAAAATGAAAATGATAGTTTTTGCAATAAAACAATTATAACAAAAACTGTTGGTATTACATGGTAATACTCATGTAACCATTATTTTAAAAATAGTGACCAAATATCATAGTAATTGTTAACCTTTTGAGGTTGTTATAGACAATAATCATTAACATTTTAGCAAAAAACTAATAAAATATAAATTTAAAATGCCATAATTCCTTAACCAGTTTAAGCAATCCAGCTGAAATTTTATCCAGAGATAGGTGCAGCCATATGTCACAGTTGCATTTGCATAACAACTTTATGTAATTTTTAACCATGTTACATTTACATACTAATTTTTAACATAACATACTAATTTTCAACCATGTTACATTTGCACTTTGTTTTATATTACATACAAATTTTTATAATTTGTATGTAAACCACTTTATATAATTTCTATAAAATTATATATATAAGTGGTACTCGTTTTACATGTGTTTTTATTGTCACATAATGAAGTCAAAATTTTACTTAATTTGAACATTCAACTTAAATTACTTTCTGCAGACAAAATTTAAAGATTTCAAAATTTGCATCACCGGGCAGCTTTATGCGTATGCTATCATCCCATATAAGCGGCGTTCTTGGGTCAGCTAGGTTGGCATTATTAGAATACGTGCTAACTGTGGGTAAAAATAATCTACCAATTTAAAATTCTTAATTAAAATTTAAAATTATAAACTATTAAAAAATTCATACATACATATAAACTCAGTTTTTAAATAAATTAAAAATTAAAAGTTTTTAAATAAACTCAGTTTTTAAATATCAAGAATTCTAGAGATTTATTTTTTAAATTTTAAAGAGAATTCTAACTCAGACCCCTTCTAGTCTCAAGATCTTGCAGTTATATGCGGTAGTGGTTTAGTGGTAGAGCGCTTACTTCATAAACGAGAGGTTCTGGCTTCATCCCTGCCATGTCTCAGGCACTCAACTTATTTCTCCACGCAGGGGCCATGTTCATCAAGGTTCCTGTTTTGGAGTTACAGAGTTAAGAGAGGGTTGTAACCACAATAAAGAAGCCTTCTTGGGTTTGGGCAGATAAATTAATATTAAAAAAAAAAAAGTCAACACCTATCTAATTGTACTTCTTTGATAAGCAAATTATAATTTAGGCTTTTAAAACTATTTTCACCTTTTTGAAAAGATTCTTTGAAAATGGCTGATTGTAGAACCATTTCTGTTTTCTTTTTAAGTGGTTTCTTTAGCATAGTGCAAAGTCCATCTGCATCTCTTTCATAATGCTTTAAAAATAAAAATTGTTTTAAATAAAAACTAAATAAAATAAATAATTTTTGTTTTTAGAATGTTTGAAATTATAAAATATATAATAAAACAAATTATATTCACATTAAAAAAAAAATGCATTTTTTTGAATACATTTATTCTAATTTTGTCCTTAAGACAAGTTTTAATCTTTGAACCTGAGTCAAACTTATTCTACCTGATTATTTTTACCTAAGTCAAGTTTGTCTGAGTCAAACTTATTCTTGAGACGTATTCTGAACAGTAAATGCAAATTCACAAATTTCAGTAATGCAACAAAAAAGTACATATTGCTATTGTACACTTAAGATGAATATTATTTTTTTAATATATTATTATATATTTTTTATATTATACATTCAAAATGTCAGGATAAAAGAATCTTAAAAATATATTTAATAACTTTTGCCTAATTAAAAGACTAACTTAATAAACTACTTTAAATGCAACTTTTACATGCAACTTTAAATACAACTTTAAATGCAACTTTACATGCAACTTTAAATACAACTTTAAATGCAACTTTACATACAATTTAAAGGTAGTTTAAACTCTAAATGAATTGCTTTCACCAGTGAAAGTTTCCTGATATTTTACTTATATAACTGCAGTTTATATTATTTAAAAAAGGTTTAATATCATTTGAAAAGTTTTTTTTTAGCTAGGTTCATGCACATAAATCAAACTTTTTTTTGCACATTAACCTAATTTAAATATTGAAACTAAAACTCAAACAGGGTTAACTGAGTTATAGATCTGTATCCTATTTAGGAGGTAACAAAAGAGTTGTAAAACTTTTACCAAAGAGAAGTAAAAACCAGTGAGTAGACTTAAGTAGATTTTGTAACATATAACAAAGTAACAAAGATATAATAAATACTTTATGTGGTTACATTTACATTTACCAGGATATTAGGTAAAAAAGAGGGTTTCTGAATACCTGTTTAAGTTTTTCTACAAAACAGCAGCCTAGTGCATTTTAAACTTGTCGGAAACAAGCCTTTACTCAAAAAAGAGCTCTAACGTAGGCAAGTATTTTTATTCAGAGTTTATTTTTTCTAGTTTCTGTCTAAATTATATGAGTTCAACATAACATGTTTTTACTGGTTCCTTAATTTTTTTTTTTTTTTTTCAAATTTTTATTTACAGGAGAAGACCTGGAACTAGTTGCAACAGAAGTTTACAATAGTGCCTTGATTTATTATTTCTTAACAGTTTTACATTATCTATGGAATGTTAAAATAATAACATGTCAGCTATAAAAATTCAATATAATAAAAGTTAAATTTAAAAGATAATAACTGCCAAAATTTTAAGATCTCAATCTATAGTATTTTGGTTTTTGTAATTTAAAAAATTATTTTTTCATTTTAAAAACAATATTTTTTTATCCCAAATCTATAAAAAAGAGAATTTAAAAAAAAAAATAGAAAGCTAAAACTAAGTTGCATACTTAATTTTAGCTTTTTTTTTTAGAAAGCTAAAATAAGTTGCTTCTGAGAACGAACAGGGAAAATAGTTAAGAGGTTTAAAGATAACCTCCCTGGCTGTGACTTTGTTGAATCATTTTTAAAAACGCCATAAGGATCAAATGGCCGTGAGAATGTGTCATTATGTTGAGAAATAGATTAATACTTAACCATTTACAAATTAAAAATACCATATTTAAATCTTTCCATTCACCCTCGATAGAAAAAAAAATGAAATTAAAGTAACGTTTCTATTCACCCCCATTTGCAGGGTGAATAGAAACACAATGTTTTAATTTTTTTTCTTTAAAATCAAATAAAATTAAAAAATTAAAATACTATAAATAAATAGATCTAACAGAGTCCTGTGTTTGGGCTAAAAGTTGTTTGTCTAGAACAACAAATATGCAAAATTTCAAACCCAAGTTGAAAAATGTTTCTAACCACCCTGTTTTACGGAATTCAAGTATTTGGTATTCACCACATTAAAAAGTTTGGGCATGCAGTACTTTTTTTTAAATATTTGTTTGATTAACTAAAACTTTATAACAAGATTATATTTGAACAATCTTATGAAAGAATTTGTTTCTGTAAAATATATGGTTGTGTAAATTAAATATTTTCCTTTTAAAAATGTAAAATGCATTATATATAGCAGTGCTGTACCCAGACATAATTCCATACTGTTTGACCATGCATTACATTTTTTAACTATTCAACTAGTGTGAACTTTATCAACATCGCTTACTTATAATATTTTTATATAACTATGGAGTTTTATTAACATGAATTTAAGGAACAATCTTTATATTGTTAAAAATTAAATTGTGTTGTTATTATATTCTAAACAGCATTAAGATCTTTTAAACAATAACTAAATTAAAATTACTTATGAAATCTAAACTTGTTATTTGTTAAACAATATGTCTTTATTATTTATTAATTAAAAATATTTTATACGTAACATAATAATCTTTTGTTTTAGAAGTGTTTTATTTATTTTACCACAATTTAATTTTTTGTTGTTTTTTTACGTATTAAATGAACAATATTTAGAAATCATAACTTGTGATCATAAATAAAACTAATGACAAAATAACTTAAAGAGATTTTGAATGAAAATGAAAAAGATTTATTCCCAGGTGGTTGTACCCCAAAAACCACATATAAGTAGGAGAGCGTAAAACTTATTTCTAGAAAAAAATGAGGTTCGTATGAGTTCTTTTGCAAGAATGTTGAAATTGACGACATTCTTTACAATGCACCCCAAAAACCACATTAACTAAATTGGCTATAATTTCTGAATTGTTGAGAATTATAACCTGATTTTGTGAAGAAGATCGTCCTATTATATTACCTGATTTTGTGAAGAAGTCGTCCTATTATATTATAACTATTATAATAAATTATAATAGTTATAATATAATAGGACGACTGCATCACTGTTAACTTATACTTTTTGATGATTTGGAAAAGATTTTAAATAAATTAATAAAATACTTATATAGTTTACTCTATGTTTTTATTTGTAATCTATAATAAAGTTTATTTATTTTAAGTTAATTTTTGTGGTAATACTGCTATTGAAGCATGTTATGTTTTTTTGTTTGTTTGTCATTTTAGATTTCTGTTTATTATATTTATAGTATTTATTATATAGTAAGTAAAATGAAACCAACATCTCTGTTACATGAAACCAACATCTCCGTTAAATGAAACCAACATATCCGTTACATGAAACCAAAATATCCGTAACATTTACGTATAAACAAAGTAAGAAATCTTGTGCAAAAGCTAATGCCACAGTTGCAAGAAAAAATAATAATGAGAGAAATAAGCAAATAGAAGCAGCTATACATTGGTGCAAAGAAATGAATGAGAGGGAACAAGCAGCATTAAAGACTGGCATATTTCTTTTTATTAAAGATAGAGACAACCAACACGTGATTAGATGGAAAAGTGACTAATGGACAAAAAAGAAGTTATTGTACTATACATGCAGAAGATGAAAAGGCATGTACTGTTTGTTTCATAAAAAATAAGAACAGGTTTTTACAAGAAATTATCAAGTAGGAAGAAACCAAGTTAGTTCTTAATATGCTACATAATAAACATCACACTAATAAAAAGATAAACGATGGAAGGAATTTTCACAAATTATCATTAAATGCTCAAGCTGCACTGAAAAAAAGAAAGTTGCAATAAAATAATTTAATTTACAATGATCCTATGAAGTTATCTAATTAGGTTAATCAGAATCATCTTTATATTTATATTTTTTTATTTAAATTTTTTCTTTATTTAGAATACTCTTTTTATATAATGGTCCTCTTTTATAGATTTAGTTGATTATTTTGGCTCATTTTAATCATTTGGTGTTGTTCAATTAACTAAATATAAAGTTAAAAAAAAATAATAATTCACTTTTTTTTTTATTCAAAAAATTTAGCACTATACAATGTAAAATTCTGTTAAATATGTATTTTCATAAAACATGTTAAGAAATATCATTGAATACAGAATGTTCAAAAAGCGAATGGAAAAAAAATTTAATTAAATTGATAAATGCAGGTACTTGTGTATTGTGTACTCAATAAATGAGTGAGCAGCTGATTTATTGATTTTATACTAAACAAATATCAGAAATTTATAAAATTTAAAAATTATTTTTTAACAAAATCATTAAATGTAAACTTGTATAGAAATAATTGTTAATTTATTTTAAAAATTTTTTATAAACATTAAAAATCTGTATGTAAATCTAAGAATGTATTCTTTCAAATATATATATATATATATATATATATATATATATATATATATATATATATATATATATATATATATGTGTGTGTGTGTGCAAACTTGTATATATATGTATATGTAAACTTGTATAGAAATAATTGTTAACTTATTCTAAAATTTTTTTATAAACAATTAAAATTTGTATATAAATCTAAGAATGTATATTTTTTATTTATTATTTCAAATATATATATATATACATATATATATATATATATATATATATATATATATATATATATATATATATATATATATATATATATATATATATTTGAAAATATATATATATATTTGAAATAATATATATATATATATATATACATATATATATATATATATACATATATATATATATATATATATATATATATATATATATATATATATATATATATATATATATATATATATATATATTTGAAATAATATATATATATATACATATTTGAAATTATATTTATATATATATATTTCAAAAAAAATTAAGATTTTACATTATATCTGTTGCATCTAGACTCAGTCTTCCCTATTTCTAAGTCATTTATAACTTACTACTAGTTTTGAAAGATTTTGAAAATATTTTCTTTTTAATATACATGAAAGTTTTGTTTTCGATATAATTTTTAAAACAATTTTTGAGTTCTTACAGTTTTAAGAATTATTTGTTGTGCATTTAAATAAGTTCTTTTGTTTTGTTTGTT